GCTATGCTCACAACATTGTACTTTCATTATGATTTAATTTCTCGATAGATAGTTAATCAGTTTTTACCTGTTTCATCCCGTGTCTCCTCTCCCCATGACCCCTGGCTCCCTCGCTTTGCCCCATTCGGTTTTCAAAATAAATCAGTCTCAGTTGCTCTCGCGTCATCTCATGCTGCATTCACTGCAGTTCTGACATTTGAAATTAGCAGCCGTAATTCTCAAATTATTCATAATTAATAAGCCTGGCCACCCCTACCACCAACCGGTGTGGCAGCAGGGGTGGCAAGGCTGTCATTTAGGGTGGCATTTGTCACCCTATGCCACCCCAGTAGATCCGCCTATGCCTAGTTGAAATTTCAAGTTTGGCAGCCCGCACAGAGCATCAATATACAGTGCTGCATATTTACCTGAAAAATTATTAATTACATCTCAAATTAAGCTTACATTTAACAAGTTATGCAATTTTCCAGGGCTCTCAACTTTCACACATTGACACACATTTCATAAACTGCACATACTCATATACTGTACCAGCCTTGTAATTTCTCATTCTCACAAGAGATACACAACCATCCACACACTGACACCTAAGGACAATTTAGAGACTTTTGAAGGAAGACAGAGTACCTGGAGAGAACACACTCATGCATGGGGAGAACATGCAAACTCAATGCAAATAGACCCTGGGCAGGGAATCGAACATAGAACCTTCTAGTTGTAAGGCAACAGCGCTACAAACAGCACCACCCTGCAGTCAGGCTAAAAAATAAATTCTCAAACTAAAATGTAGATTCTTTTTATACTGCTGCTATTTTAGGTAACACATTTAAAGAAGGAAATGCACACATTTTGTTGGAATTACTGTTCTAATTTTTCTGGTCAATTCGTAATGCGTCAGCATGTAGTACAGCTCCACAATTAGCTAAAATGTGACCTGTGATGTTTGTGGGAAAACAGTGAGAAATTATTGCAACATGGAAACCTTGTCAAACACTGCAGGTTAAACCACAAAACAAAATATGCAAAATTGATAACGAGGACAGAGATGGAGAGCACATTTGCTGCTAGACAGATGTCTTTTACAGAGCCTCTAGGTTCCTCAGGCAGGCACAGTGCAGTTACAGAGCAACTCACTTTTTCTCAATAGATGTATTTCTGCTCCTGCGGATTATTGCATTCCTTCTCAGCAGCTATCAAGAGCTGCAGAGTCCTGTTCATCACTCGGTTATTTAAGTTAGGTTTGTGGAGACGGGGTAACTTCTAAATATGCAGGACAGTGGGTCCTCAGGAACACATTTCATAACCACTGTTACAAAGCAGTCACATGAATTTGCACATTTAACAACCACATTAGGTGTACTTGCAAAAAAGTATTGCATCTGTACTGTCAGTATCAGACTGTATTTTATTCAGTATCGAATCTTAAGGAAATTTCGTGGTATCCAAAATATTTAGGAATATAATTAAAGTGACAGAATCTGTCCATTGTCATATAAAACAGTTTCATTAAACAAATTAGAAAACGTATCAATCAGTCTGATTACTTATGAATTAAAATAGTGATTTTGCTATCAGTGCTAAATATCTCATTCCAAGCTCAGATCAGAACTAAAGAGCCCTGCTTCAACCAAGGGGAACAGGAACAGATGTAACAGAAATAATGATATAAATAAAAAATTAATAACTTTTTAAACCCAATATAAAACTTACTGTAAGTAAGAAACTTAAGAGAAGAAGCAAAAGCTTATATGGCAATACCTAAATTAACATTGTTATACAATATGGGAATAATGAAAACACAAAAAAAACTATTCAAAATGACACCCCAAACACCTGCAAATCATGAATTAAATTTTCTGTTGTTGTTTTAGGAACATAAAGTATACATTTTAATTGCTAAATTCCCAAAACATACATTATTTGCATATTTTAATGCTAGCAGTAACAAAAAAAAAAAAAAAATAATAAAATCAAATCATGGCTTAATAGGCTCCTTAAAGCTAACTTTTTCAACTGCAAACAACCTTAAAAAACATTTTACTCACAAATCAGCACTGAAGGGGTTTGGCAATTTTTCCTTTTTTAAATTCACTCTTTCATTAGGCACTTTTTATATCATTTTCACAAATACATTCGAAACATTTCTAGTGTATACAGTTTTGACCACAAGGGAGTTAACCCAAAACTCAGTAATATAATCTTTATTCCGTGTAAGCACATTAGCTGGCAATGTCTTTGGTTGTGTAAATAAAAAACAGCTTTCTTGCTCTTTGGTTACGTACAGTATAATCTGCATAATCAGAAAGAGGAGTTTAAGGCTATAATTTCTCATACAAACCGTGAAATATGAAGCACAGCTATAGGCTAAATGGTAAAGTATATTACAAAGGAAGGCACATAGGCCTGAATTACCCACTGAAATCTTTGCAAAGCTGAACTGCATTTCTGCTTCCATGTGTCCACACAGACAGTCACTCAGTCAGTCAGTCACCCAGCAGATGCCTCTTTCTCTGTGAAAAATGAAAATTTGCTCTTACATCTAAATCTTGTATTCAGCCCAAATATAGAGCTTTTAAATATTGTTAAGTAGGGCTACCATCTCTTCACATCCCCAAATAAAACACCCCATTATTCATTTGAAATATCTTAAAATGTAAATTCCATTCATTGGACATACTCAAGGATTCAATGATTTGTTTTGTTTTTTGTCAAGCCAGCTCATATTTGCATGTTTGTTGCACACCATCTTGACTTGGTCACAGTTCAAGAAGCTTAATATTTAGAGTAAAAGGCAGGGAAAAAGAAGAACATGATTTAAGTGTAGCTCCAGTTCAGCAGTCTAATGGCTCCAGGGTAGAAATGTTTCTGAGCCTGGGGCGACAGTGACATCATCTGTAGTTTGCCCTGAAATCGAAGGGTTGATGGTTCAAGCCCTGGCTCTGGCTTTCAGTGTCGTTGTGTCCTTGGGCAAGAAACTTCACCTGCATTGTCTACTGATGGTGGTCAGAGCGCCTGGTGGCGCCAGTGTATGGTAGCCTCGGTTCTGTCAGTGAGCCCCATGGCAGCTGTGGCTACAATGTATCTTATCTTGCCACCATCAGCGTGTGAGTGTGTGCGTGACTGAATGTTGTGTACAGCACTTCGGTCAAGTTTCCTGACTGGACTTTCCAGGAAGTCCAGTTTTTTAGTGTGAGACTTAGTCCAAGTGAGGAGAGCCTCCAAACTGTTTAGCATTTGGGGACAGGGACAAAATTTGTCACACAGAGGGGCATGTCATTGAGTGGTGAGTCTGGGTGTTGGGATTCTTAAAGTGGGCAAAGAACCTGGAGTGCATCTGGCAATGAGGGGTCCCATGAGCATTTTGCATCTCTGATTTTGTAGTCCATGATGCATTTGATGCCCTTTCACACCCTCCCCAGGTCATTAGTGCTGAAGTGACACTACATTTTCTAGCGGTATGGCTTTGGTGGTCTTAGCTCTAATCTCAGCGTTCTACCAGTTTTTTCTCGTTCTGATAACAGGTTACTGTACTGGTGGTGGTGCTGACAACATCACTACACTTGGACATGAAGCAAAGTAAAGAGGAGTTGTATTCCTTTTGGTCTACCTTTACCTTTGCCTTCCAATAGGTGCACTGAAAACAATCTTGGAGAGCATCCCTGGTCCACAGAGTGAATTTTTATTTAGTTGGCCTAATCCATCCCATCAACGGTCAATATTCTGGTGCCAGGAGGATACAGATGTGGTTGGAGAAACCAAGATAAGGTTGAGAAAAGGCTCTGTATGCACAGTGAATGTAACTGCACATTAAGTCCAGAGTGTTCTCTCCCCGTGTTGGAAAGGTGACATGTGGGTAAAATTTAGGCAGAATGTCAGTCAGTTTTATGCCTTAAAATAGCCTGGAAGGCTGAGTCTGGCATGTTGCTGTTAAGCCAGGTTTCAGTTAGGCAAAGAACACTCAGCCTCAGATGTGAAAAGTCCACTTAGCCTCACAGGCTCCAAACGAAGATCATGAGAGATAAGAATTAATTCACACAGCTTCCTAATGGCATGAAGGGGAGGGCTGTTGTTTTCAGAAGATCCATCTGGCTAGTGAAAGATATGTTGACCTAACAGCAAAGTGCTTTGATGAACTCAAGTTGTTTTCCTCCAAATTAACAATTGTGAGAAAGTTATTTATACAGGGGGTGGGTTGGTTCCCCTTGGGGGAGTGTTTGTTGGGATTTTTGTAGGGTATAAATGTACAGTATGTACTATGGTTGCCTATCTCTCCATCTGAGGATGTTAAATAAATTTCAAAATTTTTCTTGCAAGAAATGCCCCTGCCTCAGCTTACAAACTCCACATCTGGTAGCTGAAGAACCCACTAAGATTTGTGTGCCACCATGGGAACCAAAATCAGAGAGGCATTACTGCTTTTAACCTTGCTGTACTCTGATATTTTACCTGCAATTCTTACTAGTTTTCTAACTTTTGCTCATGATTTCATTTTATTTTTTATCACAGATCTTATCCTTTTACATAGGAAGGAATCTTTTCATTCCATAAAACTGTTATTTGAATATAATAGAAAACCCTTTTATTGTCCCACACTTGTGGTATTACAGCAGCAAAAGATTGTAGCAAACGTGGTAACACACACGTGGACCTTAAAAAGAGTATAAAAATAACAAAATAAGTCACAGAGTAAAAAAAAAACTAATAAAATACAGTACTGTGCAGCATTTTTACAGATATAAATACTGTGCATCTGGAGAATAAATAATCAATATACAGCTATGGACATTTATAGATATGAAAGTTGTACTTATTGTAAAAAGTGTTGTTGGGCAAATTCTTTAACTTGAGGTTCATTTTTAATGATCTGTTTTAGAGATTATATTTATGCACCATTTATGCATACTTTTCTTGTGTTTACATAATTACAAGAAAATATAGGAAATCATGTTATTGTTTTGTTATTATGACTCTTTTGATGCCCTGTATTATTGTGCCTGCAGGCTGTGAGAGTGACTACTGGGGACCTCACTGCAGTAATCGTTGCCAGTGCCGAAATGCAGCTAAATGTAACCCTATAACAGGAGCCTGTGTTTGCACCGACGGGTACCAAGGGTGGCGATGTGAAGATCCCTGCGAAAATGGCTATTATGGCAAGGGTTGCCAATTGCCCTGCCAGTGTCTCAATGGTGCAACGTGTGACCATGAAACAGGAGAGTGCATCTGTGCACCAGGTTACACAGGAGCTTTGTGAGTACCAGCAACATACCTGCTTCTTTGATGCTTTCTGGGACAAAATGTGGCATGCATTAAGAGTCTTGACACTTAACATGTGTGGTGGCAGCTGTGGGGAGCGGTGCCCCTCCGGCAGTCATGGACCACAGTGTGAACAGCGCTGCCCCTGTCAGAATGGAGGAACATGTCATCACATTACCGGCGACTGTTCTTGCCCTGCTGGGTGGACGGTAGGTCACAAAAACACCAAGAATGTAATGAAAAAGAAAAAAGCCTCACACATAGAAATACCTACATTTCACTGGAATGGTGTTTAAGACCAATGACATTGTTCATGTACAAAAGAAGAAAAACATTTTTTTTTCTTAGATTCGTTGCAGAATAAACTCATATATGGTAGCCTTCACACATGTTGAAATATATATTTTTTTTTACAAAATCGCTGAGGCAATAGCTAATAGCTAACAAAAATAAAATGAAAAACTGATGTAACTAGGCTCACATTATTAAAGCTTAAGGAACACTTTTAATGACAATGATAAAGCACAGAGACACATTTTTCAAAACTAAAAAATTGGAAATAAAAAGAAAAAATAAATTGATTTAATATTTAAACAACAATAGTTTGTTTTTTAAGTAAGTCAGGGAAATGAAACAATAAAATTACAACTTTTTGGCATCGCCAAATGGTGAGAGTGATAAAGTAAAAGTTTGAACCGACTGAAACAATAAAGGCTGAATGTGCCCACACATTTTTCATTTCACCACACACTGAGCACGTTAGTATTAGAGCTAGTAAAAAAAACACCTCTGCTGGAGAATTGGAGCAAAAAAATCAAATCTTTTTCTGTTTGTTTTTAGTGAGACATATATTTTCATCTGTCCATTGACAGAGGATGAAAAGTAGCCCATTCACTAATTCTGGGGTATTTACAGCATTGTATATTTACATATTTCGTCCTGTTATATGAACTAATTAAACCAGTAAATATTAGAAGCTTTATACAGGACAGGAAGTTGTTTCAAGACCTGCCAGTAAATATACCTTCTGTTCTACCATCAAAAATGTCAATGTCTAGTCTGTTAAATCCTTTGAACATAAGCTTGAACAGTTCGCTCTGATCAGTCGAGAATACCAGTACATGGGGTGCCACGGACTTTTAAAAAAAAAAACAACAAAAATTATTCTAAACTTTTTTTTGTGAATAAATGTTCACTAAATTAGGGCTAAAAATAATTAATCTGATTAATAATAATTAATAAATTATGGAAATAATGGTCAACTAATTTACTAATCGATTAATCATTAACAGGAGTTTAGAGACTGTAAAATATGCCTTTATGTGACAGATCAACCAACCCTTAAGCGGCAATTATACCAAAATTGTAAAAAAAAAAAAAAAAATTGCTTTTTTGTTCATCAATATGCTCTATCCAGAACTCCTCAAGTGGAATCGTTTGAGTTTCACCTGGTTTACCTTCGTAAAAATTCTTCTTTAAGGAACCTTTTGCTATTCGATTATTAATCGATTAATTGATAAAGTAATTAACAGATTGCTAAATGCTTGTTTGTTGCAACCCTAAACTGAATATTCTAATGTTTTTTTTTTGTCTGTTTTTTTGCATGCCACTAGTATGGTTAGAGCAGTGCACTTGTGCTCTGAGACGGCTGCAAGTACCTGGGTGGATCCCCAAAGCCTGCACTCTGGGTTTCTCAGCAAGACCCTTAAGACCACACTGTGCCACACAATGGCAGCCCACTGCTCCCCAAAGGGGATGGGTTAAATGCAAAGATTTTATTTCCTGATTGTGGGACAATAAAAGGGAATTACAATTCTTAACAATTTTATGTATACATTAGGTATACCATGGGTGCCAAACAATGAAGAACAGCATTTTGTAAAAGAACATGGCATATCTACAGTCCGATATAAACACAAATCAGTAGGTGCCTAAGGCGCATCAGTGTAACTAAACTGTCAGGCTTGAGAAAAAGCGTAGTCTGTGTCTCTTATGGTAATCAGTTCTGTCTGTTAAAGGGTTCAGTGTGCGCTCAGCCCTGCCCTCTGGGCAAGTATGGCATCAACTGCAGCAAAGACTGTTCGTGTCGCAATGGCGGACTGTGTGACCATGTGACAGGAAAGTGCCAGTGTGCAGCTGGATTCAGCGGACGCAGGTAAGCAGCCAACACCTCCGGCCCAGACACTTCATCCGATTGTCATTCTGGGAGGTACTCAGAGCAGACTCGCTCACTTCTGCTTAAGCAGCTGGTCAGACAATGGAATTATTTAACAACATTTGAATCTTACGCAAAAGACCAGTTTATGCAGACTTAACAGATACTCGTTGACCTATTCCCTCTTTTTTTATTTTCAAATGAGAAGTAAATCTGGCTTCTGTTTTAGAAGATAAAGGCAAAGCTGTAAAATTTTTCTCTCATGAGAAATAAGCATTTATTAACATCCATTACTCCATCTGAAGGTGCACTGGAAGCTTTTAATAGGGGTATTTATGCCTAATTAATCTTGTACTGTGTGCTGGCCAGAAAGGTTTCATGTCTGGAGGCCTCATCCACATTCACTCCTCCCAGTCTGTCCATTGATCTTACCGTGGTCTATGTGCTGTTTGGGTTTCTGCTCATTAATTATAAGTAATGGACTTATATTAAGGCCTCATCAACATACACGGATCTTTTTAGTTTTCCATGCCTGCTGGAGAAGCCCAGGGCAGCCAGCGGTTATTAGTCTGACTAAAGCAATTGTCTTTTTGATGGAAACACCTCCTTAACAAGACCTTTCTTTTACTTTATTATTTTACGAAATTGCCCTCATTCATTTTGTTAGTGGCAGGTGAATGAATCTGCCAGGAATAATCTGAGATTGTGTTAACCCTCCCAGCTTCTCCTGTCGAGTATAATATTTCAGTTGCCCCATGATGTTACTAAACATAAGGAAATTCAAACATCAGGCATGACTTGAATGCTTTCCTATGTAATTGAACTGTTTGTAATGGCTTTGTTAAACTCCAGAGACTAATAATGCACAAATAGTGTGGAGGGAAAATAAAGAGAAGGCAAGCACAAATTCACTGATCTGGTTGCTTCTTCATATAGGAGAAACTCTCAAGTAATATTAATTTTTCTACATGACGATGACTGCCAAGTCTCATGGAGCCCCTGCAGAGACACTGAGGTACTCACAGCAGGCTCTACTTTTAGAGAGTTTTTGAAAAGTGCTTGATAAAAATTGACCATGCCAGTCTGGGTCTTTTAAAGCACATAGCTATATTTTGGATGTTGAAATGTTAATAATATATGTGGTTATTAAAGTAAGGGTTTTATTTAAACATGAAATAGCCACTGAAGTATTTAAATTTAAATTTTTTTGCATGGCAGTGGGGTAAATTATTTATTTTGTAGGTTACTGTTGATCCATTTTTTCCTCTCCCAGTGCAGCAATTTAAAGTAGTGTCATTTCATTGCAACTTTCCCTTAGATGTCAAGAGGACTGTCCTGTGGGCACCTACGGTCCACAGTGCAACCATAGGTGTGAGTGCCAGAACGGTGCAAAGTGTCATCACATCAATGGAGCATGTCTGTGTGAAACAGGCTTTAAAGGCCCTAATTGTCAAGAGAGATTCTGCCCCCCGGGTCTTTATGGCCTCATCTGTGACAAGTATTGCCCTTGTAATACCACAAACACTGTCAGGTAAGTGAGACCCTCTGTGCATTGCAGCACTTGGCAGTGGGTGATAAATGGAGTCGAGGTATTCTTTGGTTTTGCACAGGGGTCCAGTTTTTACTCAGGAAACTATCGGAAAGACGAGTGTTCCTTTAAAACTACTTTCTGCTTTATGAATCCAAGTTACCCTTACTTTAAGCTGTAATAGATCCCATTCAACCACTTTTGATGGAACAACATGCCTTTATGAGTGAGTAGTAACTTTCTTAATCTAAAGGTTACAAAAAAAATTTGCACATTATTTTTGGTTTACATCATTCCATCATGTTTATTTCTCTCCACATGTTTAACTTTGTATAATACTCTGGAGTTTTTAGACTCCGATCTCCATTAAGTTAAAGAGATCAAGACAGTATTGAAAAACACTTATTTCCCAGTAAGATATAAGTAATATAAATTAATTCTTCACACTGCCTAAAAGTGAAATTACATGAAGTCTCTATAAGAGGGGCTTCCTCTGCGTCATTACTTGTCTATGATACATTACTTACTGTTCATAGAAAAGATGACAACATCAGCTCAGTTATAGCCTCTTTGAATTTGCTCCCTGTTCATTTTAAGATTGTGATATGTTTTAAGCTTGGTTTATGAGTGACATGTCCGTGAGGTCCGCTTGGCAAAATTACGTCAGACAGAATTTCCCATTTTCTTGGAAAATTTGTAACTACGCGGACGGATCCGCACGGAAAACATGGCAGCGGATTCGTAAATCTAAATGTCTACCGACATCCTGGGATTTGGCTCATTTATATCACCACTATCACATTGTGGACAAACTCCAGGAAAGAAATTGGCTTTGATTAAGTTGTAAACAGGTTTTTTTCTACTTCCTCATGTAGTGTGGTGTTGTCAGCTTGCTGTTTGTGCTGAATGTTTTTGCCAATATTATCATTTACTGCAATAGTTAGGTAATTGAAATCCTTTTTATGAGTGATTAGTTAATACTAAACCTGATGGTTTTTATTTGCACATAGCAGCAGCAATGCTTTCTAAATATTGACAGATTCAACCCAATTTCTTGGTTTTCTAGGTTTGTCCTTTTTTTTATATTTTCAATTCAGTCCCTGTGTCATTCCATTTTTTTATACCAACGGTTTTATATGTGGAAATATTTTCTTTTTACTGTGGCTTAGATGGGCTGTTATCCATAAATGGTCTTACTTTCATGTCAATGGTGCCACGACATGTTTTATAAGAAAAACATTAACATATTCAATAACTATTTTGCAAGTTATACAATTATTCTTTTATTTTCTCAGTGCATACAGTGTCTTCCTAAATGTGGGTTATTTTTACTGAAGGCTTTTGAAGGCAACACACGTTGTGGTTTCCCTGTGAATAAGAACCTCTGTGATTTAATTTCATCTCTACTTACCTAAAAGCCAGCAGTCATTCCGCAGTCTGTAGACATCCTAACCATGTCTCTCAGTTAGCTTTTAATCGCGACCTTTGCTTCATTCATAATTCCTCAGAAACATTCATAGTTAATGCAGTGTTAATGCTTTGATTCCTGCAGGAGCTGGGCATTGGCCATATAAGTCATTACTGAATGAAGGAGAAAACGGACACTTCATTTATCTGAAACAAGCACGTAGCCTACAGTTGCTGTAGGCATCCCACTTAGATCTTGCTCAAACATGAAGAGTTGATCGTTTCAAAGGTTACTTTCCTTACCTTTTCCCATAATGCTGTCTTGTTTCGATTTATTTGTAGCTGCCATCCACTATCTGGTGAATGCACATGTTCACCAGGATGGACAGGACTTTACTGCAATGAGACCTGCCCTCCTGGGTTCTACGGAGAAGGATGCTATCTGTCTTGTAGCTGCACCAACGGAGCAGACTGTCATCCTGTCACAGGCGTCTGTACCTGTGCCCCTGGCTTCATGGTGAGCTTTGTGTACTGAAAACATACATAGCTTTTCCAAAAAGATCTGTTCTCTCCATGTTTAATGTTAATGTTTCACTGATTTCACATGTTTCTCTTGTGTTATTTCTGCTTTGATTCTTTATATTTATTTATTTTTTTAAGTTGGACTTAATTTCAAGTCAACATGTGTAGATTAATATGTCTTCCAATGTTCTGTGATATGGGAGCTGCCTTTTTTAATCCTATCTTATGAGTTTATTTCAAGGAAGAGAATATATGTATAAACTTTTAAACTGGTCTTGAATAAAAGCTGTTTTTCTTGACAAAGTAAGTGAAAAACACTATAATGCAAACAATTTAAAATCACTAAAAGCGCTCAAACTTTAGGTTATAAGTTTCTTTCCAATTCTAACTGTTGCATCATTTTCCTAAAGACCAAAATTGTTTGGAAAAGCTGAGTTTCCATAAAAAAATTGTATATAATTAAAGATAAATATTTTCTTTTATTCAATCAATTCAAATATTAATAGTTAAAGTAATGAACCATTGTCCTTTTTGTAAAAGTTCCAGCATATTAGAAACATCTGTCACCAAAATGTCCCTCTGATCTATCTCAGTTGGACCATCAGAAGCGCAGTGCGGTCTGCATGGTCCCTTTTATTATAACATGTTCTAATTGCTACAGAAGTCATGCAATACAATTTCTTGGTTGGGCCGTATGTTAAAATTGATCCATTCTTTTCCTGGAGTAAGATGTAATTTCCTTAGGTCATGACTTCATGACTCTAATAAGTTTAAAAAAGAATAAAAAAAAAAAAAAAGAACAAACACTCTGTCTCTATGTCAGCATTTGCCGTAGATTAGTGTTTCACTTTCATCATTTACAGAAACCTGTGTTGTGGCAAAACTGCTGCCTAAAACAAAGGGGCCCTGTTTGCAAATTCTTTCTAATAATTTGTTCCAATTTTTTGAGTTGAAATTGAGAACAATTGCAGATAGGTAATACAATTCTACTCGTCTGATGAGATATATAATTGGCTAAATCATGATGCTTCTCTTTAGTTACTCTTTACTTACATAACATAGGATACTAAACACTAGTTTTCATCTAGTTTTTTATGTGTTATACTGTAGGCAGAATTTTCTGTTACTGAATGGAACAAGAATGAGACTAAAAGGAGTATGAAAGTAGCTCAACTCCAGAGATAAAAATGTAAAAGACTTCCGATGAAAGCTTGATAAAAAACATTTGAAAGTATTTAAAAATTGATGGCTTGAAAGGAAAACAAAAACAAAATTGAGATGTTTGCAGAGTCTTTGCTTAAGTAAAAGTAACTACTGTTGCATTGCGTAAAATATTTCCACCTTGTAATTTAATAATGTTGTAGTTCTGAAGGTTGTAGTTTTAATTTATGTTGCATGTTATCTGTGGCTGCTATAAAGAAAAAAGAAAAAGTCGCTGAGGCCAAAATGTTTTGGAAGTGATCCCAGTTTCTCTTTAGGCTCTTTTTATACACAGACGGTTAAAATCAAGGTGAAGATGTTTGTCATGGTCATTGATATGCTTTGTTAAGGCACCGGACATCGACCCAGTATATTTCAGTCAACAATGAAGCCCTTTGCCACAAATTTTGTTTTTAAATTCATCACAAAAAATATATAGGGTCACAAAGACAAGTACAAAGCAAGCTCAGACCTGTGCTCTTGTTCCTTCAAAGCAAAACAAAGTTAATCTTTGGTCAACTCCATTTGTAGTTCTTTTTCTTGTAGCCATATTGTCCCCTTTTTACAACTGTCAAATTAGTTGAGTAACTCCAATCAGTTTCGCCATTGTATTTTGTGTTTTGCAATCTGGAGTTACGGAGCAATAGAGACCAGGAGAGTCCACGTCTGCCAATGTTACATTTCAGTGGAAATTGCCTGTGTCTTACAGCGAGCCTCTGTGGTGAATTGAGCTACCGAGCGGGGCTCCAGACTGTGTCTTAATTTGCTCCACCTGTTCGCTGTGGCGGCTGCTGGGAAAGGCTGCCAGATCCATTAAACAGACCTAGAGGGCAGAAGCTGGATAGGAAAGGCGGCAGTCAGATGGGAACAGACGCAGCTCATATGGAGATTTTGTGTGTTTGTGTGTGGGGAAATGGAGAGGTGAACATTCATTGTTTTTCTTGTACTTAAGAAAGCTGCTGCTGTGCAAACCATTGAAACATATTGTTTTGCATTTAGACGTCTGTAGCTGCTACCTGTTTGTATTCAAGTTGCATGCTTATTATCAAGTGGAGGTGTTAAAATGTGATTCATGATGCTATGATTGCCAGGGAAGTCCCTTTCTCTGGGGATCGCTTATAAGACTAAGCCTCCCCATTGCATTCTTTTGTTCTGGAGTCCCATCGGACGGCAAACCAAGCAAAGTGTTGGAACAGGCTGAGCACCGGCATGCTTGATTTAGTCCTAGTAATTGGACATGCTCTTTTTGGCTCGGACAAAGTGATTACATGTTACCTATTCAGGCTCTGTCCCTTACAATCTGCAGAATGGGCACGGCGTAACATGCAGTTTCTTCACACTCTGTCCAAAGTGCTGCACTTGAAACTGAAATCCTGTAGGAATCTGTTCCAGTTTCCCTTTGTAAAAGAAAAAAAAAAAAAAAACACAAAAAAAAGCTATTCCTATTCCCAGCTTTCATTGTCGCTACCTTTTTGTCATCTTGCAATAAATGTAAATTCACTCGTCAAGCAAGTAGATGTGCTGCTAAGGAGTGAAACTGATTGGTAATTAGTGGTTCCATTTGCATCAGGTCTCAGTGGGTAAAAGCCCAATCAATGCTGTGTCAGGTAAAGGCTTTCTGAAAAAGAAGTACTCCAATTACATTAAGATACTAATAGGTACAAATTTACTGCTGTGGCTGAGGGCAGTCTATGTGCGTCTATATTACGCAAACCTTTTTCCAGAGTTTCCTGGTGACATTCTTCTACCTCTTTCATTTTTGCTCCAACAACCATGGCCAGGTTGGACTAACAGGGTAGAAATCAACATCTGAAAATTGCTGTGGTTGGGAGGTTGTGCTTTATGGATTTACCCTGACCAAAAGCTGGATTTTTGTCATATACTGTAGGGGTTAAACAGTTCTTACTGTTTTATAATTTCCAGCATTTTGTATTAGCCATCTTTGTAGTTAATGATTTCTGTTCAGTTTGAAATTATGAAACAATATAGAATTACATTTTTGTTTGCAAACACAGATTTAAACCTATTAAATCATGTCTTTACAGAGTACAAGTAGAATACATCCATTAAATCAGCAAGCATTAGTGGAATTATTGATTGAACTAAATAAATAAAGGGTAGGTTCCAAGCCTCTGTGGGGGCGTATGGAGTAAACACTCTTGTCAAAGCAATTTTTAGAGATTTAAACCAATAATGAAAGAAAGTTCTGCAGCCTTCTAAGGTACAAATTAAAGCTGTCACTTTCCTGAAGGACCTGTGAGTGGTTATACCTTGTCTGATATTTGTGCAAAAGCTTTATTATTGAAAATCTATTGATGCCATAAACTTACTGGATCATTTCGGATTTTAATTCTGTTTCAGAGCACACCTGCTTTACAGCAATATTATATTTTATCCCTGTAAAACACTAAATTGCTCTTCTTTCGTCTGATTTCCAGCAAAGATTCGTTTATTTATGATAAAACATGAATAAGGTGTATTTATGGTTTGGATCCAAGGTTGAAATTCTCAGTGTTGAACTGGATCAAGACAGACATTTAATATTGTGTAATAACAAAATTGTCTCACTTTGAATATTCTCAAAATGTAAATTTCAACTAGTCTTCTGCGAATAAAACTTTAGTAAGCATTTTTAGGTCACATCTTAGCACAAAGATGACCATTCAATCAGTGTTAATTAGTTTTAGCACCTGAAATCCTGAAATGTAATAGTCTTTATCATCACAGTCAGTGCATTTGACAGCAATAACTTAATTTATTACTGAATTATTACAGCCTTATTGGAAAGCAGCATTTGCACGATGTAGTTGCAGTAATATTGCAAAAAATATATATATCAGAGTCCCTGTCAGTGCTTTAAGTGGGCAATCACTCAGTGCCATCACTACGAAATTTCACCCATCAGTGTACTGAGACCTCTATATCAGCATCCCCCCATCCCGACCCATAGTTCACCATTCATTTATGGCTTAAAAAATTAAGTCAAATGAAACAATTTGTTATCATGCAAAACACTTGGAGTGCATTTATGTAGCTAATGAGTGATGAAAAGCAGGGGGAAATTATCTCGATTTGGTGCTTACATGTCTCAAAAAGGAATCAATCAAACTAAAGCCGATTTGAAATACAGCAGCAGCACTCAGAACAGTCCTTCACTACACAAGCAAACGGAGGTCATAGCTAGGATTGGTGCATCAAACTGTAACTGATGCTGATGCTGCAAACACCCCAGTGACATACTTTAGTGCTAGCTTTTTGGGGGCTCTGAGCACAAATACTGTGCGGTGCCTCCTACCTGGAAACCAACAATAAAAAGATATTTGTCAATTTGTTTTGTCATTAGTTCCAAATTAACTTTAAGTATTAATGTTTTGAAAACATCCGCATGAAATAAGGATATTCAAACACGTTTAATTTTGGTCCAACAATAACAAATATATTGCCACACAAGATAGTTGTGTATAATCTATATGGAGGAAAACGACAACAGATTTTAAGAGATTGACTTGAATAAACAAATAATGTACAATGAATCAAATAAAATAATAGGCAGTATTTTATTATGTCTCTCTCAGTACTTGGTGCCCAAGCTACAGTACTTGACACTATGAGTGCTGGGTAAAATAAAATGATTGAAGTGGCATAGGTTCGTTGAGGCCTATTACTAAGAAAAGTATATTTCACAGAAAGAAACCTTAATAGGCTTAATAAAAAATTAATTGGATTGTCATTTCTTTGTTTTTAAAGATCTTCCATTTTTTTTATTCTTTTTTATGTTCTGTTTTCATTTTAACACCATGGGGCTTGAACTTGATATAAAAAAAAAAGCTTTTAGACACTTTATATTTGGCTGATATAGATTTGATTTAGATTGGCTTTGTTTTTGTTTTTTTGTTCTTTTGAATCAGATGTGTAGATGATAGATATTTGTTTGGCATTAAGGAGATTGCCTGTACTTATTGTTTTCCACTTTAAGCCCTGCCGAACCATGACCACTGGTTGTAGTTTCTCACGTAAAATCACTGCTTTTTTTCTGGTGACAAATTTTCCCTTTCTCCTGCACGCACCGAATAGTCAAGATCATTTGAAATCATAGCATGGATTTGTCTTTCTGTTTATCTATTGGAACCCTTGTCATTTTTTTTTTATCACATTCTAGACTTCGAGGTTGCAGTGGGAGACCTGTGTCCACTGATCAGTTACACTGAGGCTGCAACTGTACTGCAGTAGGAGGTGTTTACCATAAACACCAAAAAGTTTTGAACCCCACAGTATAAAGAGAATTATTTTCAAGACATGATGGAATACAAGGTTTCTAGAGTAGTGAAAAAAAGATCTTGGTCACATTGCTAAAAAGTTCCTTCAAGCTTCTGGAACAGTAGGACACTTATAGCGCTCTTATAGCTCTTTTATATAAGTTACTGCTGCTCTCATACAAAAGACTGACAGTCCGTGAATTAATAATAATTCTCCGAATTCAGACCTTTGTCCTTCTCCTCTTTGAAGAAATGTGAATCAGATGACTAATGAGAGTGGTGTCTTTCCACTCTGGAGAACAGGCCAAGTAGTGCGCTCCCTGCACCGGGAGGGGGAAACCATATGAAACTTAGCACCACCATGAATACTGAAAAATCCATGTGGCAATTTGTGGTTGCATAGTGTTCTACCCATAAGTTCAGTCACCAGTAAATTGCCTTTGCTCTGAGGAGGGACTGAAGCCTAAAACCTCCACCTCTACCATCCTTTCCCACCCTCATACATCCAGCTTTACCCCGTCAATCGCTCAAACTTCTCCATACAAAACTGCAACTGAACTGCTATTGTTAGCAGTCTCGAAGCTGTCACTTTCAGCAGAACAAAGGTTACTGCAACAGATTGATAAAAATTTCATTCACAGACAGACGCTTTTATGTGGTGTACGAAGGGAGAGACTTTATAAGATGTGTGTTCTGCCCCTGGCGTCCACTGGCACATCTCCTCCTGCCTCCTGTTTAAGCTGAGTTCAAAATGATAATGAGAGCAGTGAGCAGCCAGCATTCCCTCAGCACTCTGGTGAGCAAAGCAAGATCCACTCAGGACTCCTCTGGGCCTCTAATTGGAACCCTAAATCATTGTGTCACCTGTCACTCAATGCATGGTTTTTGAAAGAGAGACTGTGGGAGCCCGTACAGTGGCTGTGATCTCCAGCTGAGGGAGGGACAAGATTAGTCGAGGTGGGTTCCTCTAAGCCTATGAAGGAGAGTAATTCTAAGATAGGTTTGAAGAGGACATACAATGAGTACTTTAAGCCCTTTACCAAATAATTCCTCTAATTCAAAAACATAAAACTTGTGGGTATTATGCTGATCTCTTATTGGTATTCTCATTTATAATAATAAGCCCTTCCAACGGTTTATCACAGATTACTGTAAGATTTTGCGCTACTTTTAGTTTAAATAAGTTTTCTTGTTTTCTATTACCAGTAGGGGCCCAAACTGTTTGCATTGACATTATTTTCACTGGTATCACCCTCTGTGTGTATAAGAAGAATATTTTTGCTTTCTATTTCAATTGCTTTCTCCTTTAAATCGGTTTTGGTTTCTGCTGGTACTTTTGCATTGGTTAGGCAAAACAAATAAAGATACAAAAATGTTATGGAATAATGAGAAACTAATTAAACAAAGGTGTGAGAAAAAGTTTTTTGTTTCAATTTCCTAATATATATATGATAAGATAAGCATTGAACATTAATATGCTTAAATCAAAAAAGCTGTTGTTTCGCTTTGCATAAATAGAACATTTACTGTATGCGCTTTTTCTAAGTGACACAAGGCCTAACCCTGGTCCTTAGGGCCCACTGTCCTTTATGTTTTAGATGTGTCTCTTCTCAAGCTTCTCAAATTATTGCATTACCAGCCATGAAGAGCTGCAAAAGCCTGTTGATCATTTTTCCATCCTGGCCAGGTTTATGGAGAAATGGGAAAAACTGAAACATGTAGGACAGTGTGCCCTGAGGACCAGGGTTAAGAAACCCTTTCCTAGATTAAACTTACAGGCTCAGATTTTTCACATACTTCTCTACAAGTTGCAGAGAACTGCTCTCTTTTTTTCTATCCATTAAATATATTGAATGCAATAAGTCTAGTTATAAAAATTCCTCTCCACTTAATATTCCATTGTCAGATTGAAGTGGCAGCATAATAAAGTGAAAATGATTCACAATTACTGCAACTTACCCATGAAGTGGTAAGTCACATAAAATCACAGACAACCTCAAATTTTCTGGAGTGTCAATAGCTGCAGACCTGTAAATTTCTTATGCTCAACAAGAGTACATAGAGTGCTTGATGGAATTGGTTTCCACGGCTGGGCAGCAACATTCAAGCCTTACATCACCAAAGCAGTGCAAATTGTTGGGTACAGTGGTGTAAAGTACGCCTCCAGTGGACTCGAGCAGTACGGATATATTCTCTGAAGTGGCGAATCATGCCTTTCTGCCTGGCAGACAGTGGATAAGTCTGGGTTTGGCAGTTGCTAGGAGATCTACACTTTCCTTACTGCATTGTTTCATATAAAAGAAAGGGTTATGTGGGGCTATTTGGCTGGAGTTGGGATTGGCACCTCAGTTCAAGTAATATTCTGGCCTGGTTTAGCAAACCAAGAAGAACACCTGACCCGGATTAGCTTCACCCTTCTTAGATTCAAAAACTCTGTATTTAGACTTGAGAAAATTGGTCAAAGCATCCCCTAAACACACTCCTAAGCCTTACATAATCTCTTTATAAATTAGTTAAATCAACTATATCTGCAAAAGCTTTACCAACATCATATCAAGTTCAATGGATCTCACGTTTAGCAATGCAGTTTTTATATATCAGCTCATTCAAATGACCACAATTAACTTTTTAACTTAATTAAATTAAAAATGATTTCAGACGAGTGTTGTTGATTTAGTTTCAGTCAAACACACAATGTTGGCTACAAGATTTTCTTTTGCAGAACACATGTTAAGACCATCCACTGGTCACACACAAGACAAAGATGCCAACTTATGTAACAGGAAGCCCATTGAGGACAGAACTAGTTGTACTAATGAAGTGAAGAGAGGAGAATTGAAAATGTAATCATCGCTTGCCTGCTCAAGGATGGATGAGAAGTGTGCATTCCCAGGCCTTTGGAGTCTTGCCAGGCTTGCATTTGAAAAGCGATGAGATTTTCTGTATAAAGAGAGATGTGGAGAAAATTGAGAGATGGGGGAAAGAGGAAAGCAAGAGGCATGGCTGGGGGAAGGTGCTGTCAGAATATATAGAGGGGATAATTGGAAGCTTAAAAATGATTGCTCGGTGGTGATCAAGTGTGGTCTTTTTCCCTTTACCTTTACTTTAAATTTATTGTTGGTTTGCTATTTTTTTGCCGTGTACACTATGAACAGTAACCTTTTCAATAATCCATGAAGAACTGCAGTTTAACCCTTTTTATCATGCCGTATTTACATTTACATTAAATGATCTGATACAGATATTCTTTTTCTTTTGTCTGATTTTGCATTATTTTTTCCACAGGGTGAGGACTGCTCTACAGTGTGTCCGCCTGGACTTTTTGGGCCAAGCTGCATGTCCACCTGCTCCTGCAACAACCAAGCATCATGTTCCCCGGTCGATGGCTCCTGTATTTGCCGAGAAGGTAGATAATTTTTTTACTTTTGTCAGCAGTGGTTAGCAAGCCTTCTTTTTTTACTGAAGATATTACACCTACCCTACAGGTCAGTCTCACAGATTTACTAGTGAAATAATAAACACTTATTATACCTTACATGCAGAGAGTGCAATTAAAAGAATTAAATGTATTGAAGGCCTGATCAGATAAAAAATGTTTCATTTCATACTGAAGATTCAAATCATTTCGGTCCAAAGAGAGAAGTGTTTTTTTTTTTTGCCGACGCCTGATTGGCTTCCCTGTACACTCCTATTCAGATATTTGGAGAAGAGTAATCTCCAGTTGACAAGTGTAGAAATGTCAGCGTGATGTTTTTCCACAGTTTTTTCAGTTCTACATGTGCTTACATGATCTAATCTGACACTTGGTACATGTATACACATGCTGTGATCGCATCATTTTTATCTATATAATTTTCATTCAACCAAGGTTTAGATCAGCTAGGGGAGATTTTGTGCATGTAAACGTAGCTACTGTTCACTCACAGAAATATGCCACCCAACTTTTAAGAATTATGCATTTTATTACATGGCAAATTCCCTTTTACTTTTTTGGGGATAAGTTAAACACACACATATTAAAGAAACCTTACAGGATAAATATTCATTAATTTAATTAAGCTTATTAATTTGTATAAATCACATAATAATTAGGTAACCTTTATTCAATTCAAACAAAAAACTTTAAGTATTTGAAATAAATAGACAAATTAGTATACATTTTGAGGAAGTATACTTTATTACTACAAATCTGATCATTATGTATTTTAAATAAGTAAGCTTTAACATACGAATGAATAGGGATCATGTAAGGTTTATTTAATACTGTAGGTTTGTGTTCAAATAATCTAAAAAAAAAGTAAATGGGAATTTGCTATGTAATAAATATACAGAAATCTTAAAAACTGGGTGAATTATTTATTTGGGTGTTCACAGAGATGTGATTGACTTGTAGTTCAAATGTGTTGCTGAAGTGCTCATTTTGTTTATGAGTAGTATATATTGTTGTCTGTAAACTACCCATACGTTGTAATACCATGAATACATTAGATATTTGTATACTTATTACCTAGTAAGTTTTCTGACACAAAAAGTGTCTTTGGTAGCAGATGTTTATAAGAAAAAAAGAACCACTATCATACATGGATCAATACATGTAACTTATAGCAGAGGTGTTTAACTCTGATTCTCAGGACCCACTGTCTTGCATGCTGGTGAAGATTTTCAGTCATCCAGGTCAGTCATTCCAAAAAAGTAAAAAAAAAAAAAAAAAAAAACATTTTTTTTTTTTTTCTAACTCTGAACAATTTCGCTTCCCATCCAGGAAGCATGTATAAATAGTAGATAACAGTGAACGCTCACTTATGTAATAAAAAACTAAATAAAACACATAAAACAGCATAAAATAAAAACAGATCATAAATAAAGAGATACCAAGTAGTACTAACTGTTTTATTCAGTTAGTGTCGTCCAATTTCAGCACTTATTAGAACCGAGCAACAGAACATTAGACCAATGTTCAAGGACCAGCTCCCGGAAAAAAGGCCGCTTAAAGACATGTCACAGTTCATTAGAGAAAAAAACTTGTTAGAGGCTACTCTTAGATTTAAAGTAACTACAGGACAATGAAGAAGGAAACTTAGGTTCATTGTGCAATGATTACAATAATGGCTGTTCTGAGGGAATACAATAAAACAAGGTTAGAAACAGCAGAGCAAAGATGAGATTGTAAATCATGAAAAAACAAAAACACAACAGATAAAAGCATCATGGCACGTATACCAGCAGAGAACTAGTGATTTAAGTTTACAAAGTTAAGTTTACAACCATGTAAAATGGAACTTTGCTCTAAAAACCTAGTAATCAAGGGCAAGTGCACTGCATAAGGACTGCTTCAAATAATCTAAGACATCTGTTAGGGTTAGGTTCAGCTACACAGATCAGAATGAGAGGTTTTTGCTTGCTAAGAAAATGACTTTCAATAGAATTACTCACACTTAAATGATAGCAGGAATCCTACTTGATTTATTTGTCTGTTTAACAGCCATACTCTATCCACAGCGCTTTCCCTTCAAAATAATTTTATTCTTCTATTCATTCCACATCTGTAACTTTGAAAACTTACAATCTCTTGTTGGTCTGTGCTCCTTGGCATACCTGGTAGATTGTCTCCTCTCTCTGGGATTTTCCACATGGTTGCTGAGGATTGGGTTCAAGGGTGCTTCGAGAGAATATCAGCTTCCAGTGAACAAGATGCAGAGGGATAAAGGTTGTTATGAAAATGTTTACCCATTGGTCAAAATATCCTCATCCCAGACATCACACGTGGTATTTAAATATTTATCAACAGTATTACTTATTCATCAGTGTACAATAGAACTGCATATTACTATCACAATCTACATGCCTGGGAATGGTTGAAAGGAAAACATGACATGGTAAGGGACCTACTTCTTAAATATCATTAGATTTTGTCACAAGACAGCTTTACAAATATTTGCCATGACTTTGATTAGCAGCATAATTATCACATGCAGCATCACTTTTATAACATTATAACATGTAATTCAATTCAATTCAGTTTATTTATATAGCGCCAAATTCACAACACATGTCATCTCAAGGCACTTTACAGTTCAACCAGATCATACAGTCAAATTGATACAGTTTTCTATCTATGGAAAACCAGTTTATTGCATTGACTCATTGACTCAAATACAACCCCCCACACTAAGCATGCTTGTAGCGACAGTGGAGAGGAAAAACTCCCTTTTAACAGGAAGAAACCTCCAGCAGAACCAGGCTCAGTGTGAGCGGCCATCTGCCGAGGCCGACTGGGGTTCAAGGAGACAGAAGCAGAGACACAAAAAGCAGCTGTAAAAGGAGGCCCCGTCCAGGAAACACACAGCCAGGCAGACGAGCTCCGAGCAAGCTCCCATGCCAGAGGACAAAGAGAGCACATCCACCCAGTCACAGTCAGAGAAACAGGACCACACTGGAAAACAGGCCAATCTCCAGCATCTATAAACAAGGGTGTTGATGTGGTGTTAATTAAACACTAAATGTACATACTGCTTGGCTCATCCAGCAGCCTTTAAAATACATGTTTTATACATACCATTCAAGTCCCAAATCTGCATATTTGATGCCAGCCCCTTGTTTTGGTAGGGTAAATTTAAAATATTTACATATATGCATTCTTGGGCGTTGGCTACAAAGCTTGGAGCACATCTGTCTTACAACACAATGGTTCTGGGTTCAAATCCTAACCTGGGGTGTTCTGCAGCACTAGAATTATTAGGTTGATTGGGGTTTCTAAATGACCCATAGATGTGATTTTGTATAAATGGCTGTATGTTCTGTATGTCTCTGTGTCGCACCATGATGTGCTGTCTATCCGTCCAGTGTGTGCACAACCTTTCGCTCAAACACTGTTGGAGATAAGCACCAACCTCCCTGTGACCCTTACAGATGGTACAGAAAATGGAATGGATTCTTGCAACTTTATTGTGTAAAGTGCAAGAATCTGTAATGCAGATATAATTTAACAAGCCAAGCATAATAGTGAAGTATACCTGTTGGTGTGTGACATTTTAGGAATTGGACTTGAAACCCACCAATGGAAGGTTGAAGGACTATAAATGTTATATTAACAATGTTATGGAAAAATGAAATGTCTCCCTCATACTGTTGCTTGGCCTGACTTTGCTTGGCGAGTACTAAGATTCTCGTACACCTTTTTTTTCTTGTATTGTGACTGTTAAGATCCGCTGTAAACAAAAATTAAAGTTTTCTGAGTTTCAACCATTATTGTGGGATGAATCATTTTCAGAAAGATGGTAGTCATGGCACATTAATGGCTCACTAAATAGTTTGATGAGGATGGAAATGAAGCCATGAAGTCACTAAATTAAAGCTCAGTGAATACTTCAGAGAGATTTGGTGATCACCATCATCAATCACGTAATGAGCTAATAATTTCAAAAGACTGATATTTTCAAGTAGGCTATTAGAGATTTGAAAAATGAATCCCAGGGCACAGCGGAGCTTTTTCATGCAGCTCATTGTGAGCAAATTTAAGTTGTTATCCAACAGTATTTGATAAACATTAATAACTATATGAATGGGATTTTCTACATCACATGCATAATATCCCCATAATTATGATTTATCTTGTGGTTGGAAAAATCTATTTACTATTACATTCCTTCTACCCTTCTAATTATGATTTACTTAGAAGTATTCACTCTAACAAGGCACTTGCCAGACAAGGCTGAGTGCAGGTCTTGACTTACTGATGCCTCAGAAGCTGTTTTCCAGTTTTAGATGTTTTGGTAAGAGTCTAGACTCCTTTAGAGTCAAGGTTATTTCAACAAAGGCTTCAGTTTGTGATAAACTGTCTATTTTGTCTATGAGAACCTCTCCCTGTGCTTTTTTAATAGTTAGCGAAATCCTGTGTGACCAGAACAGGCAGGAGCATTGGCAAGACTGTATCTGTTCTCTCTTGAAAAGATAAAATAAAATGCTGGTGTGAATGAGGAACAATTCCTTGATAATTTAAGATGTAAATATTTTTTTTGATAACAATTTTCAGATTACAAAACCTTCCTCCTTAACTATTTAATTCTAGCAGGGTACCATGGGTTAGGTGCCTATCTCAGGCTGTTAAAAGGTTAGAGCTGTAGTATATCCTGGGCAGTTCACCAGTCCATCACAGGGTGACACAAACAAATAACACCCACTCTTATATACAGCACTTTAGAGACCTAAAAGCACCAAATGCATGTCTTTGATAGTGGGAGAAAGCTACAGTATAACACTGGAAAAGAAAACACTCTCCAAGGGGAGAAGATTCATATTCTACACAGAAAAGCTTCTCTTGGTAATAAAGAGAGAAGTTTTTCCCTGCAGTACAATGCTGCTGTTTAGCCCAGATCTCAAATCCAAGTTAGAAATTAAAAATGGGAATCTCTATTATGAAAATGTATATTTACATTCAGAAACAATTTATGCTGAAGAATCTCGTTCAATGGTTAGAAAATGAGTAAGTGAGCAACATTTTTTACGCAATATAAAATATGTACTCTACTAGCAAAGTGACAGATTTTCTGATATTTTGCCTATGATTAGATAGGCAAAATATATTTATAACGATACAGTGATGTTCAAATAATCTATATATTGCTCTAAATTTCATCCAAGATACACCATTATGTGTGTCACTGATGATATTCCAAATGTGTTGCCTAAACTGAATCCACTTTAAATGAATTACATAATATTTCACATAAATAACAGCAATTCACGTGAAATTCATAAAACACCAAAACAAAGTAAAGCTCTTCTTCAAGGAGCAATAAACCAAATTGGTGCATAAAAATCTCAGTAAGTGCATTATAATCTTAATATGGACAGTATAACCTGGCCACATATTTTAACTTGTACTTTTCACTGTGGAATTAATTTAACTTAAAGCTGCAGCACAGACTGCACATGCATTTCAGTCCTAAAACCAGTTACAGTTTCTTTTTTTTTTATTCAAAACCTGAAAACATTTCACTTGTGCTTAGTACTTGACTTATTTTATATTTGACCCAAACATTTTCTGCACACAAAGGTACATGTTTTTCTTCTTGAGGAGCAACTAATCAGCATGCTCAGAGGTGAGACAGCTCCTATGAGAGCTGATTATATCACCAGCAGTAGAAAAGACGTGCTCTGCAGGTACACTGGTCCCTGGGACACACAGATGTCTTTCGACGGGCTGGCCAAGGAGTGGGTAGGCTTAAACATGACATTTCCACCAGTCCAGTGGGTCATCAGTCAGTGGTAGAGGTGGAACATCTATGAATTGGAGCAAGTGTAGACTTCCTTTTCTTTGGTGTTGGTGCATTGGTGTCTGGAGTCTGCTGCTGCTCAATGCTTCCTTCTCCTTCATTAGAAGAAAGATGGCTAACTTGAGGCTGATCTACATCTGCATCTTCCTGTATGAAAATGAACAATGACAATGTTTACGTTACTATTCGAAAACATGTTTATAGAGTACCTAGTTAACACTATACCTTAACTCTTGTTATGCATCAAAATACAGTTGTAATCAAAAAGGTATGTACATTCCATAAAAGTATATAACTATTATTTTCTTACAGTCAGTAATTCAGACTCAGCTTTTCCTTTTCAGGCCATTTAGCATTGCTTGAATTATTTCTGTTTGCTTTATAGCATAATTATGAGAGGGTGAATTTCTTACAGATTCTTTAAATTAATTCATTTAATTTCAAAGGTTTCTGTAAACTACAAATAATTTCTTTCGTGTATTTTAAAGGCCATGAAACATTATGTGACTTGATAGAAAAAGTCTGAAGTAATCAGCCAGTACATTATCAAGATTTTTGTGGACTGACACGTTTCTTATCCATCCTTGGCTACAGTTTTCTGATACCTAAAGCTTCCCACATTCATCTGTTCAAACAGTTATATGCAAATATAAACAATGTGGGGATATTGGCAATTATGCTGTTTAAACAAGTCCTGTTTCCCAGAGATGAAGATGTTTTTCTGAAAAATGTATCGACCCTAGATCTAAAGCAGACTCCCTTGTACAGATTCTACCTAAAGTTGGTATTAAATGTCATTATCCTCAGTCAAACAAGCCCTAAACTAACATGGTCACTCAACAAGGAAGAAGTCATTTCTCCAAATGTAACAGCAAGTAGACCAAGGAACAAATACAGGCATTTCTGGAAACATCCCATCGACTAATGATACTAAAATTCAAGTGTTTGGCCATAATGACCAGTATTACAACTAAGTACCTTAAAAGCACAATAGGCTAAGATATAATTGAATGTTTTCAGAAAACAAGAAACGTTGTTGTTAGCAAGCACATGGTATTTTTGTTGGATTTTGTGACAGTAAGTTCAACTCGATGAGTAAACAAGTTTGCTAGAAAGAATAAACAAAAGCAATTAGATGACAAATAAACGTGACGTATACAAATATGCCATAACTTAGGAATGTTTTTATGATACTACAAATATTGAGGAAAAACTGGGAGACACTGTCCCATATGTGAAGTGTTGGATATCATGTTTTTTTGATTGATTGATTGATTGATTGATTGATTGATTGATTGATTGATTGATTAATTGACTCTATTGATCTCGCAATGGAGAAATGTACTCATTACATCAGCTCAAATAGTAAAAAAGAGAAGAAGAAGAAGAAGAAGGTGCTAAAGGAAGAAAAAAGGTGCATGGGATATAAATAGTATATATAGTGCATCCACATATGACAGTTCTTTTTTTTCCCTTTTACATGTTTGCATATGTGTTTACATGTTTACATGTGTATTTCTTGCAGATGGTGCAACCCAGTGCAATCATTATATATATATAATGATTGCACTGGGTTGCACTTTTGGGTGTTTTGTTACAGAAGAAAGGGACGCAGCTTACCAAAGACAATATCATAAAAAAAGACCATTAGATTAAAATTCTCCAGAGTTTTCCAGACTGACCATACAGGACATGGATATCTAATATATTTAGATATCCTAAAATGTGATAAAAAGTATGTAAAATATCTTTAATTAATCTGGCATTTAGCCAGTTAAATAAATATAAAAACTGGTAATTGGAACCAATCGGAAACATTTTGAAATGATTATGTATCTGGTAAAAAAAAAAAAAAAGTCATGTTTCTTCTTAGCTTATGTACATTTCTTGCTTATTTAAATTTAGGCTCGGTGTAAACAATCCATAATCAAAACCTATAGACTTTTCATGATCTTTTTTTTAAGGTAAGATACATTGCTCAAATTTTGGGTTTCTTTTTATTTATCATTTCCTGTTTTTAAAAGTTTGACATCTTTTCTCTGTTCTTTCTGTCTTTCAAGGCTGGCAGGGTGTGGACTGCTCCATTCCTTGTTCCAGTGGTATGTGGGGTCTGGGATGTAATCAGACATGCTTATGCAGTAACGGAGCTGCATGTGACCCTGTGGACGGCACCTGTGCTTGTTCTCCTGGCTGGAGAGGGGAGCACTGTTACGAGTCATGTCCTGTAAGTAGACTCTAACTCAGCAAATAACCAAACCCTTTGATCGGCTGCCATGTGTTCTGCCCTTAATCTGTAACTAAAGTAACTGTCATTATCAGGATGGCACCTATGGACTTGACTGCCGTGAGCGGTGTGACTGCAGTCACGCTGACGGGTGCGACCCTGTGAGTGGCCACTGTCGTTGCTACCCAGGCTGGACAGGTCAGTGCTGCTTCCTCATGAATAAAATAGGCTTATCTTAGAAGTCCAGAGTTGATCTAATAATCAGCACTAAATGAAAGACATCAGATGCTTCTCAAGGACACTGATTCCATCCATCTATCTTCTTTCACTGATCCGGGGTTGGGTCATGGGGGTAGCAGCTTCAGTAGGGAAGTCCAGACGTCCCTCTCCCCAGCCACTTTGGCCAGCTCCTCCAGGGGAATCACAAGACACTCCCAGGTCAGCTGAGAAACATAGTCCCTCCAGCATGTCCTGGGTCTCCCCCTAGGCCTCCTCCCGGTGGGACGTGCCTGGAACACCTCACCAGGGAGACGTCCAGGATGCTCCTCCACGTCTCTTGACGTGGAGGAGCAGCGGCTCTACTTTGAGTCCTCGCCTGATGACTGAGCTCCTCACCCTATCTCTAAGGAAGAGCCCAGACACACTACGGAGAACACTTATTTAAGCTGCTGGGATCTCATTCTTTCGGTCATGACACAAAGCTCATGACCATAGATGAGAGTAGAAACGTAGATCGACCGGTAAATCAAGAGCTTTGCCTTTTGGCTCAGCTTTCTCTTCACCACAACAGACCAGTACAGTGACATCTGCATCTGATGTCGCTGATTAACAAAAAAAAAAAAAAAGTATATAAGAGGTTTGCTGTTTTGTGTTGTATTGTGTGTTTACAGGTTCTCTAAGCAGGGATTCAGTAATTGATTGTTTGGTATATTTGCCGATGGAACCAGTGGCATATCTGGATCCAAGATGCTGCGACTTCAGCTCTGATTTAATTATTTTGGCTCATATAATGGATGCTGGCATTTAGTCATACTTTTGAGACGTCAAGTAACTTTTTTATGACAGCAAGACTAACCTTTCTGACCTTGGCAAATATTTAGGCTGGAAGTCCTTTAAAATTTTTGCAATATTCATTAGGGGTCCAAGGCTACAATTTTAAATTCTGTTTAGATGTGTAGCGTTTTTTTAAGCTTCAAAAGAACTTTCTGAACCCCTTATTTTATTAGATATCAATAGTATTTAATATGCCCTCATATTTATACTATGCTAAGAAACAAGGGTTAAGTGTAAGCAGGTTAATTTCCAGTCTACACTTTTTTTTCCTTCTTGGTCAATGACCACTTTAATTAGAATTTGGAAACCACAATATTTGATAGGATGGAGTCACAAAGAGATCAAGATAGTCAGGGTTGGACATCATAAGGAAGGCTTGAACACCTTGCATATCTGCTTGATGGCTATTTTTCACTTTCAGAGTTTTGAAATCATACTTGATCTAATTGAATTATCACTGAAATGTAATGATATACAACAGTTATATCCTTCCATTTAAAAAAAACACTTTTATTGAGATGTTCACAGTTGATGTCTACTATTATCAAAATAAGTTGCTCTGTTGAAAAAAGCTGCGGAGAGGAAATTTTGAATGACAAGGGTGAAAATCATTTAAGTCCAAAATGATACATTGTTTCTGAATGTCAAAGGGAGAACAAGAGAGGGGTGAAAATTCAGGAGAAAAGGTCAGGCCTGTGAGCCCCGAGAGCCCCACTCCATTCAGCCTCCTGAGCTTAGGGCATTTATTCCAGGAAACAATGTAGGTTTTATTAGCTGCAAGAATGAAGACGACAAAATGGGCCTCTCATGCTCTGAATCCTGCACAGGTTGGGACCATCTGTCAGCCTTAATTGAGTCGCCAGGGTGCAGGGCTGGGGGCAGTGTGCAGCCCAGTGGGTCACACAAACATGCACAAGTACACACTTGAACCGCAAAAGAACGGACTATGTAAGATTCGATACAGTGCAGTCACTGGAGTCAGGCATGGAATAAGACGTCTATTTACAGAAAGTCTTCAACTATTCTTTTTTTCACACATACTTTGTCATATCCCAGGGTGTGCTCAGTTCAGAGTCTGTATGGCATTCTACTGTAAATTAGGTGATAGTTTTGTTATGAGATTTGCAGGGAATTTTATAAGGCTTGAGTGGAGCGTGGGCATGCTTGTGGAAGCCGGTAGATCTATGTGTTTATTGCCGAGTTTTCATAAGCCTGACATTTTCAAGCAAGAGTTATGAAGGTTTCACTAACAAGACAATTGATAGTGAGAATCTGCTAGTGAAATGTAAAATAGCACCTTTGCCTTTACTTAGAAATAATAGTGATGAAAAATGTTCATGGCACTTGAACTTGCAAGTTACCAGTGGGACTTTTTTGATTTAAAAGTCACCTTAACAAATGAAAATGAGTCCAAAATTATGTATTTTCTTTCTATGTTTTTTCTATTTTCTATTTTTTTTTCTATTTTTTCTATTAGCAAGCTGTTATGTATAGTTTTCATTATTAATAAACAGCATCAAATATTTAAGCATATGTTCAACCGCCTTATGGTTAAACATAGTAAATGCAGCATCATGCTGTGGGACATTTTTCTTCAGCAGGTCAGCATTGACGAAAATGTGGATAAATAGAGAACGATGCAGGAAGATGTGTTAGAGGCCACTGAGCTTAACCTTTCAGGAAATTAACCCCAACCTTTCAGCTACAGCAACGATGCAATTTGGTTAACAAAAGAGCCATTATGTTAGACTGATGCATTCAGAGTACAGATATATATCTAATTAGCAAGACTTATTATAGTTGCTTTCAAACTAATCAGAAATTTTGGAAGTTTTATTCAGAGAGCCAGAAAAAATTTTTTTCTTTGAATGGGAAAAAGACATAGTCTTAAAGTTTCCATCCATCCATTTTCCGTCACGCTTATCCCAAAGCGGGCTAACGAGGGGTGCTGGTAACTATCTCCAGCTGTCTACAGACAGGATGCCAGTCCGTCGCAGGGCACTTAAAGATTCCAGTTGGAATAAAAAAGTATTTAGAAAGCTAGATTATTTTTAAAATAAACCAAAAAAATAAATAAATTAAACTGAGTATCATTTTCAATCAACTCCACAACGGTGTAAAAACTTGTTTTGGTCATGAAATAAAGTTTTACCAAAGTACATTAAAGTTTGTTCTTGGAATGCAACAACATATTTAACATTTCAGAGGACATGAATAATTTTATAGGGTCCTGTTTACCACAGCAGGTAATAAGACGATGTTTGTATGTGCAGAAGAGGAAGACCTAAGAAAAATAAAAATTGAACAGTGGCACCTCTGACAATTTGCTGCAAAATACCTCAGTTCAAGTTTCCCTCACTCTCTTTCAGGCATGCAAAGCCCCTCTGTTTGTCACCATTACTCTGAGAAAAGCAGCGCTCTGTCTGCATTCATTTTCCCACAGTGAGAGCAGTCACAGTTTTTTATTCTGGCTGGCCCAGAATAACACATGCCTTGCTTTCCTTTTGATGTCCACAGCTCTGCTCATGTCTAAATCACCCACCTCATCCCATCAGCGCTAACATTTCCTCTCCTTTTACTCCTCCATGCCTGCCCTAAAGTGCCGTGGTTACTGTATAACATGGCTCCCAAGAGTTTAGTCCAGGTTTAATTCAAAGGTTGTGCACCGAGGCCGCTTTAATGGCTACACCTTCCTCTGATATTCTTATTCAAAGGAAATTTCAAATGAGACTCGAACATGACTGTTTGAGAGTTTGGGTATGTCTGTGTGAGCGCGTGCAGCTGCGCTTACATAAAGTATATTACTCTTTAAGAAGCTACATGTCTGTATGTAGCACAGTGCGTGCAACTTTTTCTCCTTTCATCTCACTTTTCTAAGAGGCTGAGAGAAAAGGCGCTGCTGCTCTGATGGATGTGCTAATGCATTCATGTGCACACCGAGTACCCTGTGTGGATGCCGTGTGTTTTTTTTTTTTTTGCTTTTTTGGGGGGTTGGAGCCGCACCAAACACACTGTGACACTTCCAGTCTGTGCTCTTGTAGCCTGAGTACCTCCCTTCAGCTCTGTACACAACCCCAGCTTTGCTGAAAGAGAATGAGAGACAAGCTGGGGCTCTCTGGAGGGCCAACCCTGTTAATCAACACAGTGCACTGGCAAGGAGCCCTAGTCAGATCAAATATAAAATACATTTGGAAAGGAGAAATGGAGTGTAAGAGATGGGCTTGGTTTGAAGAAAGATACATACACATCAAACTGGATGCTTTATTCAGTAGTTAAATCATTTGAGGATCCATGGTGATTAAATAACCCTGCATATATCTGTTAATATTGGGCATTGTGAATACTGTCCCTGTTAACGATGTGTTTTTACAGATGGCTATTTAGAATGTTGCGGCAAACCATTTTTTTTTTTTTTCGTCTTACTTTGCATTAGCTGAATATTCGTTTTGTTAATGTGCCCGCAGGAATCCACTGTGATAATGTGTGCCCACAAGGCTTCTGGGGACCCAACTGTTCAGTCAGCTGTTCCTGTCAGAACGGAGGGTCCTGCTCTCCTGAGGACGGTTCATGTGTGTGTGCACCTGGATACAGAGGGACCTCCTGCAAAAGAAGTGAGCCTTCTCTTTTCTTTAAAAAAAAAAAAAAAAGCAATGTCTGTTGATCCAAGACTTTGAGCGATAACCGGCTGACGCTGAGAGCTGCGGTGGTAACAAACTCCATCACAGTGCTGACCTTGTTTTGATCTTTGAAGAATTGTTAAAGGTTGAGCCAGCTGAGGAGAGGCACTCAGCTGTCGGTCAGAGCGGCTTGAGTGTAAATCCTTCATCACAGCTATCACTTAATCACAGTGTCTTTTCCCCTTTGGCATTCCTCAGACACACGCACACACATGTAAACAGGAGCACGCCCCTCATACTCCTACACTGTCCTTAACAACCAGCTCACAGTGGGAGACTCGGTCCTTGCCTGAGGCTCATCAGTGGGCATGCTCACTGGGAGCGCCAGCTCTGGTCTCTGGAGGGAAAAAAAAGGGGTTCTGTCTCTCTTAAGGTGCTCTCATGTGAGGAGCTCACTGATTGGGAGAGAAATTCACAACCACAAACCTGTAAACATCAATTTGAGGAGAAAATAAGAGAGAAGCTTAAACGAGCTGCATATGTTGTTCTGTGCGAGCATGTGTTTGCCCCTCGAGCGAAATAATCACTCAGACAAATTCAATATTTACACAAGTAATTTACTCATCAGGTAAAAAGATTACAACTCGCAATCTGTGTGTGTGTGTGCATGTGGAAGGTTGTTAATTTAGTTTGAGACATCACATGCCTCTCCTGAGCTTGGTAATATGGATTTCCCCTAATGCCTGACATACTTAAACAATTAACACCTACTGGCTCATCATTACATTACATTACTCTAACTTCTTTATCAGTTTTTATAAAAGGTCTCTATTTAGCAAACAACTGATTGTCTTTGCAGAATATCTATGCTGGAGGAATAATTTCTCCAGATCACTATAAAAGGAACAAAAAGTATTCCTACCTATTGAGCATGTTAAAAATTCTCTATGCAAAACTTTTATATATTTACAAATGCAAGGAAAATTATATATAGGCATTTATTTTCTTTACAAATAGAAATCTGAGAATCTCTTTTAGCTTTCTTAACTCAGAATAAGATCTGATGCAAAATGTTGCCTTCAGCAGTTAAGTCAGGGATAAAGTTGTGCAGAAGTTTTTGATTGTGATTTATTTCAGGCAGTTCAAAAGACAACAAACCTCAGTAGAACAGCAAAGCAGATGCAAATTATCAACTAAGCATAGACAAACAAATCCTCAAGACAACCTGTCTGGGTTTTGTGCATGCTTCCATTATCCGAAAAGGAACGCAGTTAACATGTAAAATCTGCCCCCCTCCTTTTTAACTATTATCGTCAGTAAGTTCTTATTATTAATTATTTGACTATCTAATTAAATAAATAACAAATAAGCAAATAGAAAACAAATAAAACCACCAATAAGTAACATTGCAAAATAAGTGGAATAATACAGCAAAAGAAATACCTAATTAGCCATCAATCTCATATTTCCTTATTAATATTTAAGCCCTGCTCTCATCCCTATATATGTCAAAAACCATTCATTTGTATCTTATTTGCAACCATTTTACGTTTGCACACTGCTTCAGATCTGCATTTAAACTATTCCGTAGCTCAGCGGGTCAAAACCTTTTTTAGCAGCACACCTTCTTCTGTGTCCTAACCGAGTTGGCGCTCCACCAATCCCCCACACCTTCAAATAAAAACAAAGAAACAAAATGCTTTTTAGAGAAAAAAGCTTATTTATAGACAAATTAAAGGCGGAATATTTAATCATGCTCAAATAATCAGAACAAAAATGTTACAGTAATTACAGTTAAAATACCAAAACCCTGTCACAATAATGCATGTTATGGAGATCATAACATATAATAAAGTTAGACACAAACTCCACAACAAGATCCTGAGAATTTTCAGGTGCAGTGAGAGAAAGAAATAAACGGTCCCAGAGATCGGTCAGACTTCCACAGAAAACATTAGAGGTCTCTAAAGGTGGATTCATGGACTTAACTCCGATAATCTACCTTTGTGTGTTCTCACTTTCTTTATTTCATGTATCTGATTCTTAATCTAAATCTGACAAACAATTTATACTGCAAAAAATAAACCCTAATATGTTTAGTTTGATATCTGTCCGATGACGAGAGAGAAGTTGTATAGGGAGGCAAAAATTAACAATAACAGAGAGTGAGTGCCGACCTTGACAAAACTGTTATCAATCAGATAAATACAAAATAGTTTTCTTATTGTTTCACAGCAGTTATATTCAGTAGATAGACATGCTCATGGCAGCAAATCCCAGCTCCCTTCATCCTCGACCACTACAGGTTAAACATTTCCCTGTTCCTTTTTGAATGTGGACTTAAGCAGCATCTTTAAAATTGCACCTATGTGAATCACATTATCTTATTAAATTAGAGCTCTCTGTATTAGTCAAAAAATCGCATCTACCAGCTGCAGCAGTGAGGGCATGATGTTCACATGGTGTAGCCAGTTCAGAGTCACAGCACCATGGACAGCGCTCTTCATTTAAAGCAGAGGCCACGAGCTAGCTGGTCATTACAATGCAGGAAGGATAGCATCCTCTATGAAGTATATCAAAATGAAGGGTAGAAAAATACTTCCCAATACTTTTAATTAAATACTTTTTTCCTGTGAATAAATAATTTTTTCATTAAAATAACAAATGGTAAATGGCGTGCTGGTGAAGATTCCCTGTCATATTGGTCATAGTCCAACAAAGTTAAAAAAAAAAAAAGAAAAAAAAACCTAAAAAAACAAACAAACCACTGGACTTTGTTTTCCAAGTTTGAAAATGTTTTGCTTCTCATCAAGAAAGCTTTTTAAATTCAGATTTTCTTGAGTAGCGTTAAATTCCAGGCTTATAGTGCGGCACAAACAAAAGCCTTGTTATGGCTCAGAAAACATGGAAATTGGACCAATAAAATCAAACAAACAAAACAGTCCTAAACACATAAGAGCTCCTTGCTCATGAATGTTTCCTCATCATACTATCAACAATCTGAAATCTGACTGAACATTTTGGAAAACACCTGAATGCAGTGAATATATCAAAGTGTTGCTAAACATTTATGTATATATATATATATATATATATATATATATATATATATATATATATATATATATATATATATATATATATATATACTAAATAAAGTCATCTTTCTGCTGCTTAAGGAGCATGATCAAACAATTTGTTTCTTATCTATTAAGAGATATTAACATCGATATAGGCTACCCTTACTTTTTTTTTCAAAAAGACAATCTGATGCCCACTATGAGACTGACTCTATAAACAAGCACGCACAGCAGGATTTGTAATGTTAATGTTAATGGGCATCCAGTTAATTTTGTCATTATTAGGACCTTGGCTTTTATAAACACAAGCATCTTACAGCAGGTAGTTTCTCTCATTGCACTTTAAACATTACAGTGGTGCTGAACAGCTGTAATGTTAGCTAACTCCTATCAACACAAAGAGTAACCTAAGTTAAAGGGCAGCAAAAGACAATCAATAGTAATTATAGTATAATGTTGATGTTAAGCATAAATTAAGCACTGTGCTACATATCCTGGTTAGATTTTTTTTTTTGAAAGAACCCCATCTATAGTTTGCCTTAACTTATGCAACAAACACTAAGAAGAAGGTACTTTATGTTCTAAATGCAAAGTACTATGTGTGGAGGAAAAATAACACCCTAAACACACGGTAATGGCAGCATTATACTGTGGAGAAGGTTTTATCCAGTTCCCTACCACAACCCTCAATGGGGGACAAAAGCAACCATGGGAAAATGTTTTAGATAAAAGGATATTCAGGTGCTTAAATCGGCGTCCAAACTTCAGTCCAACTAAAAATCTGTGGACAGACTTGAAATTTGCTCTTCAGAAATACTCTCTATCTGATCTGACCAAGTTTGATCTTTTCTTACAAACAATAGATGAAAAATTTAGTCTCATTATCTGCAAAGCTAGTTGGTTTTTATTTGCTTAGAAAATAATGCAACAGAGCTATTCTGTAACCATAACAGTTAATATTGCAGCTGCAATGGAGTAATATTTTAAGAATGCACTTTATAATATTGCAAAAAAGCTTTTTTTATCATTAAAATTTCAAGAACTGGCTGCTGTAAAGGGTTTCTTTTTTTTTTTTATGTTTCTGTGTTTTATTTATAGATATCTGATTGGATCTAAAACGTTTTCACTGCTTCTTTTAGTCCCGCTTTGAAATCGGACACTGTTCACTCTTTTCCAGACTGATATTGTGTGTACATGGTGTAAGTAAGTCAGTCTGGCTGGCCAGGTTACGGATTTATTCCCGAGGACCTTCAATTGATAACCGCAGCTAAGCCTGTTGTTTGAAATACTACCGAGATTTTTAAAGATCCTTTCTTTTCTACCTTACATACTATAAATACTTTTGCAATCCACTGTAATATTTAATCAGTCTCACCATCTACACCCTTTAACTACATTTTCAATTATTAGGACCTTTATATGTAATATTGGCAATATAGCCTTTTATTACACCATTGGATTTGTATTCATTGCAAACACAGGGTTGTTTATTATTTCCTGACATTTTTAGATCATAAAGCCGACTTCAACTCTTGACACAGAAAAAGATTTTTAACACTACTCTTAACTCCTACTTTTCTGTCTGAGGCAGCAGATAAAATGTCGGTGATTGCAATAATGACAGCCTTTACTGCTCTCACCCTCCCCTTCACACGCTCTCCTTGTCTCCTCTGCTTTTAATTCCTCCGGCGTTGATTTTTCTCTACTCCCTTGATCGCTCTTGTCATGCTGTGTCCAATAATTATATACCCCTTGTTCCATCAACATTGGTGACTGATTCCCCCTCTTCTCCCCTGCCACGCTCCGCTGGCTGCAGTCTGCTCTCCAGGGTTCTATGGGCACCGCTGCAGCCAAACGTGCCCGCAGTGTGTGCACAGCATCGGCCCATGCCATCACATTACCGGTCACTGTGAGTGCCTCTCTGGCTTTACGGGCTCCCTGTGCAACCAAGGCAAGTAGCTTCCTAAATCCTTTTCCTGCTGTTAAAGTTTTTTTTTTTTTTTTGTTAAAAATTGTTTCACATGTGTACATTCAGAGATACTACTAAATTTGGAAGCATTTTGATTTAAAAAACCAGGAGTAATAAAAACAACTTTCTGCTTAACTGTATGACAATTTCAATAATTAGTCATACAGTTTCTATCTTATTTTGTTTTTTGTCTGCACCAACAACACCAAGTCAAATTCCTTGTAAGTGCAAACCTACTTGGCAATAAACTTGATTCTGATTCTGATAAAATGTATTTGTATTTTCAAGCAAGGAAGGCCTGCATACATTTAGCAGAACATCTATCTGATTTTGGAGCTGCATGTAAAATCTTTTATTAAAACACAAAGAGCAATCATGTGCTCATCAATTCTTTTTATAAAATTGAGTTTAACCATACTACTCTTTATTGTTTAGGTGAAGATCTCTTTTTGCAAAAAGATTGTATTGTGATGTTTAATTTTTTTTTGCTGCCATCTTTCACCTAAATGGATGTTTTAGTCAATCGTTAGACCACTGTTAGGGCTTTTTTTTAATTACAGATTCTCTATTTGGTCTGGAAAGGTATGGAAATGGTTTCACTATTTTTCCAGCTCTGAATAAGTGTAACAAAGAAGACATAACACAATGGAAAGATATTTGGACATTAGACTTTTCTATCGATTCAAGGTCTAAATGTCCTTCTTTCCATCTTTTTTTGTTCAACACTTCCTTTTTTGACCTTCATGTTCTCTCTGTTTTTTGTTGTCTTTCCGTCTTTCTTTTTTTTGCTCATCCTGTCTTCGTATATTCTGATTTAATTTCATGTGTCCTTTGTTATTCACTGATTTTCCACATGTTATCCTCTCGCTTCTTTGCTCATCTCTTATCCTGTTTGTGTCCTTCGAACCTTTGAGTTTTTTCTTTCCACTTTTATTTTGTAGCATTATTCTTTCCTTCCTGTGTCGTCTGTCCCTCTCTTCTCTTCTTTTGTGTTCCTTCCTTCCTTCCTTCCTTCCTTCCTTCCTTCCTTCCTTCCTTCCTTCCTTCCTTCCTTCCTTCCTTTTGTTTCCTTCCCTCTTTTTTCCTGCTCCACCCTTCTACCACCTGCCCTCTGCTCTTACATTGTGTCCCACTTCCATTCTGATCTTGTGTCTTTTCTTTTAACCAGGGTTTTTGGTGTTTTATGGGTTACATGTAAACTCCTTACAAATTGAACTTTTTCACATTTCTCAATGTTAAAACCACAAGCTTTAAATTAGATGGTGTGATGGCTAACACAAAGTAGCATATTATTGTAAAGTTGATGAAGAATCATACAAATCATACAATAGCATTTCCCTTACTCTATTCGTTGCAAAACGGGGGCAGGGTCATAAGGCAGATTGTTCTGTAAAAGGTCTGGCCTAGTTGAAGAGATCAACAGCTGAGAAAAATGTTGACAGGACATCCGTTTGCCATCACCTGCACAAATGCTGACTAATGGAAAAGTAGATATATCTATTATGAGCTAATCTAAGTTAATACAGATCCAAAAAAAAAAAAAAAAGAATTGCAGCCACTTTACTCTGAGTGAAAGATACAAATAATAGGACTTAATTACTATTAAAGCCAGTGCTAGAAAAAATCTAAAAATTTTAATCTGTAAAAATATGACATTTTGTAATGAAAAAATGTACAAAACCTGTACAGGGCAATCCTGAAAAAAAAAAGTTGGAAGCTGACAGATATTTGGAGCTGGGTCTGAAGTTCCCCTTCAGATGAAGAACAACCTGAAATATGCAGCCCAAGATACTCAAGAATTATTTAGATCAAAGCATAGTTGCTTGCTAAAGTGGCCTAGTCAAAGTCCAGGCCTAATTTCAATTGGAAAGCTGTAACAGAACTTGAGAATATATATTCATATGAATACAAAAGCATATAAAAAGTTTATGGTCAATACAAATGCAATTTACTCTATGAAGCATCTGATACAATACATTGCTCTTTTTTGTCTACCCTCCATTCATCTTTTAATAAACAGTTTTGCATGCTTAAAATTAGCTTATGTTTGTGTACTCTATCTCTTCAGTGACTTTTCTTTGATAAATATATGAGATAAAACAAGCATGGGAAAAGAAATCTATACTGTTGCGCTACAGTCTTCTGATAATTTACCATTTTTTTTTATAAATTACTAAAAGCCATGGAGGATTGTCTTGAATTCTCTTTCATGGTTTTATGCGGTATCTTATAAATAAAAGTTTAAAAGCTCAGCTAAAGGAAGAGAAGCGAGTAAAGATGAGAGCTACCCCTAATTTGTCATGGCTATAATTACTATTGAGCAGGCGTTGAGGGACGAGGGACGGAGGTGGCCCGCAACATGGTTGTGCTCCTCCTTATGTTAAGCCCCACTGGTGCCCTCACTTGTCCTTTGTCCAGCACGCATAGCCCCAGCCTAATGAAGCTCTCCTAGTGAGCTGAGGTTTGAAATCCCCCAAAAGCAGCATGAGGGAGTCAACCTCATGGCTTAATGACCACCTGCTTGAAGGAGCTTGGAAGAGCTCTCGGGAAGAGAGGGAAAGCCAGTTGAAATGCAATCATTAAAATCACACCACATGAAAATGAGTCCGACCCCGCTCTTCCCCAGCGAGCCACCTTATCAGATATTTCTAACACTGGGCTATTCTCTTTATACTAGAACTTTGATCTCTGGTGCTGCAGCTCCAAGATCCTGATGCTCAGATACACCTTGGTACAATTTGTCTCTTCTCATCCCACCTTTAAACACAGACAATAGAGATTTCCCTGAAAATTATATCTTTTATAGAATAGTGACAGAGTGCATTAAAATATTAATTTCGTAAAATATTTATACAGTGGTCTGTGTACACGGTCTATTTTAATTCTGAGGCGCATCACTCATTCCTCTCTAGTGGATAGAAATAGGACAGTTCTGCCACAGGAGGCAATGATTAACTCCTCCTTTTGTCTAAACAGATCATTTCACTTCATGTCCACTCAAATAGAACAATATCCTGCATTAGAGGAAATGTTCACCAAGCAGCCGTAGAGTGTCTTTGTTTTTCATACACCTGCTTTCAGTAAAACGCTGGGATTTAATGTCATCATGATGTTGATACGATACGTCAGGGTTCACATTAGGTTAGGCTGGCTTTGTACGTGGATGTGTTTTGAATTTTGCATATTTTTTTTTTTTTTTTTTTTTTTTTTTTTTTTTTTTTTTTTTTTTTTTTTTTTTTTTTGCAGTGTGTCCAAGCGGCAGGTACGGCAGGGCTTGTGCAGAGATCTGCCTCTGCACCAACAATGGCACCTGCAACCCCATAGACGGTTCCTGTCAGTGTTTCCCCGGTTGGACAGGACAGGACTGCTCTCAGGGTACAACTTAAATGTGACTCCCTTACATTTTAAATTTTTCAATTTTCCACATTTCTCTCGTTCCCATCGTCTATCTCCCTCTCTTATTTCGCCTCATACGTTTAAATTCATACACATTAGTCATCTTCATGACCCTACGCAGCCACAAGTAATGCCCTTGGCTCCAAATGATGTAAAACACATAGCTGGCTTAAATGGTTGTTGTAATACATTATGCTCTTTGATTAAGTACACCTCAGGCCAAAGATCATTAAGGCAACTTTGAGCCAGCACACCATGGGAAACAGATATGTATTGTGTGTGTTCATATGTGCTGTGGCGCTCAGAAATCTAGACACTCTTGATAAGGTGCCAAGATTTTGTAATTAAATAAAAAGAAAAATCATGATAAAACATTATAAAACTTGTTTTGTTCATAATTTTATATTCATATTGTATAATCAGGGTTAAAACCATTCAAATGTACTTTGAAAAAAAGCACAGGAGAAGCAGCTGCAAATAACTGGTTACTTATACCTCTGCGTGCCTAAACTAAAACTTTGTAAAGCTACTTTTTCATAAAGTTAAAGCATTTAGTCCTTTTGATTTTACACCTGCCACCAATTACAGAGAAGCAGATGAAACTGAAGTAAAGACTAAATTATCTTCTATTCATGGCATTTTTTTATCTATGTATTTTAGCTAAATCCACACTGAATCAAAAGTACCTCATCATACAAATGTATTAGGTATTAAAGAAAATCTACAGTTAGTTGACATGGAGACAGTGTGGGCCAACAGTAACAATGTTAGACTAAAACTGATATGCTGGCAGCATCAAGCAGATGCAGAAGTTTAACTAACAAATGCAAGTTTTGTTCTAAGATTTAGTTTTTACTTTACCTTATGTTTGGACAAAGGAGCAGAGTTTCAAGACCGAACCATTTTTTTTTTAGGTATTTGGACTTTGCCCAAATTTTCCAAATCTTATGAATAAAAACAGTGTATTGGCTCCTTTCAGTCAGCTGACTGGTAAAGTGCAATGAAGGGCCAGCATTGCATTATTCTGGCCTCCATAATGTCAGCAGAAAATAAAGCTTCCTTCCCTGGAAGCTTATTAGAAGTACATTTAACTATGGAAACAGAATGAACCAAAAAATCTCATAATGAGCCCATACCTTTATAACATCTGGCTGTAAATGCGAGGTTTTCAAATGATACAGGGAAATGTATTTCACAAGTGTGTAGAGAGTGTCCCAACCTGCATGTGTTTGGTGCTTCATGCATGAATGTTTTAGGTCGACACAAACTCTGATCATGAGCTTGACTGTGTCTCTGACATCTGCAGCCTGTCCCTCTGGGCATTGGGGCCCTGATTGTCTCAACTCGTGTAATTGTCACAATGGAGCCCAGTGCAGTGCCTATGACGGGGAGTGCAGGTGCAGCCCTGGCTGGACTGGTCTCTACTGCACACAGCGTGAGTTTTTGCCTCACCCTTTCAAACTAGATCCACAGTGCCATCTACTGGCTTAATTGCAGTACATGACATGGAGGCATGTTTCACCAGTCTTGAGGCTAATGTTTAATGTGAACTTTCCATTTTCATTTTTTTTATTTTTTTTTTAGAAAGAGCAACATCAAAACAAGATAATGGTCACTTCATCATTTTACTCATAATACATTCCAGTCATTTACTCACTGATCGTGCAGCTCATCAGCCTCAGTCCTGTAATTTAAATACCATTATCCCGAACCCTAAGGGTTTGTTCAGAGTTGTTTGTAGAGTCAGGCTCATGCTATTGTGCATGATAAGGAGCATTGTTTTGACTGTTTTTCTTCTTGTCACACAATCTTAGCATTCCCAATGGTGTTGCTCCTTTTGTACAACAAAAACTTGCGTTCAGAACATAACTGGGTTTTCTGCTGAAACAGGAAGTCTTTCATTTCCATTTATTCACTCCCTTATTGAGTATGCTGAGGAGACATTGAATTGTATTGATTTCCCTGCTCCCCTGTGATATGACCTTGACTCTTTACATTGTGTTACACTCTCTTCTGCATTTTCCCTCCTACCCCATCCAAACATTACATACATCTTCATCCCCAGGCTGTCCTTCAGGGTTTTATGGAAAAGACTGCGCCGAAGTGTGCCGCTGCCAAAACGGTGCAGACTGCGACCACATCACGGGCCAGTGTGTTTGCCGAACCGGCTTCATTGGGACGGGCTGCGAGCAGAGTTGAGTGGGCCCAGCACATTTTATCTCTGTGCAAAATTACCCTGTGGATGTGTTTGGCTCCTGTTCACTAAGTGCTTTAATTTGATAAATGCAGTAATGTACTATTCTGCCATGCAGAGTGTCCTGCTGGTACATTTGGATATGGCTGCCAACTGCTGTGCGAGTGCCTGAACAATGCTACCTGTGACTATGTGACTGGAACATGCTACTGTAGCCCTGGATATAAAGGCATCCGCTGTGATCAAGGTGGATGAGCTGTTGGAGATGTTGCACTGTGTTAATGATAAACATTTACTAGTGCATATGGTTTAGGTCACTCACTGTCTTTCTTTTATATGTAGCAGCTCTGATGATGGAAGAGCTAAACCCATACACCAAAATTAGCCCTGCGCGTGGTTCAGAACGCCAGTCTGCAGGGGCTGTCATGGGCATCATCTTTCTCCTCCTCATCCTCATGGCCATGCTTAGTGTGTTTGTGTGGTACAGACAGAGACAAAGGGACAAGGGCCAGGAGATCCAACCCAGTGTGTCCTACTCACAGGCAATGCACATTAACAACACTGACTACTCTCTTTCTGGTAAGAGACTTTCCGTATATGAATAACTGCTTGTATTATTTACAATACCAAGCAAATGCATACATAAATATAGAACCTCGCAAAACATAAACTTTGCTACTTCTCATACTTTTTTTTCAAGAAACAATAATACATTTTGTTACATTTTATTGGGATTGAATGTGATAAAACAGCAAAAACAATAAATAAATTTGAATTGGAAAGTAGATAATACAAATCTTTAAAAAAATGTTGCAAGTAGAAATATAAAAAGTGGGACATATGCTTGTATGTTGCCCCTTTTACTCTGTTACCAAAAAAATAAATAAAAATCTATTGACACCAATTTCCTTCAGAGGTTACCTTGATACATCTGTTTTTCAATTGATCTCAGTAAAAGAACAAACAACATTGTGAAGAATGAGGAAGGCAGTAGATAGATTAGAGGGGGACCCAGGGAGAAGTTTAAAGCAGGGTTAGGTTATAAGAAAAATTCAAAAAAATCATTATCTTTGGACCTCTCTCCGAACTTTGGTCAAACCATTGTCTGAATATTAAGAGTGTAGTGCAACTGTAAACCCACAGAGGTATGGCTGTCCACATTAAGTGACTATTGGCTGGCTCAGGTCAACATTAATCAGAGAATTGATCATAGCCAAGTGGGTCATGGTAAATCTGAATGAACAGACGAAGACAGAGGTCAGTCAACAGCTGAGGTGGGAGACTCTGATTACAGGACACTTATTAGTTAAGCACTTCAAAAATCCACATTTTCTTAAGTGCAAAAAGAAAGAAATTGTTGAAAAAATATGTTTAAAATGTTCACAATCCACAAAAGAGACACAGCATAAATGTGGAAGAATGTGATCTAGTCAGGTGAAAAAATATTTGCCTACATGTGAAACTTATGCTTTAAAAAAATAAAACCTGCAAACAGCTAAAACATATTTGTGATGGGGTTGATTTTTGCCTTGCAATAGAAAAGAGTCCCCCAAAACACTGCCAGACCTGCACAAGAGGTTAGAGCTGGTCATCGTAAAAAATGGCCCACTGAAAGTTCATACCTAAATCCAATTAAAATTTTTTTTGCAAGGGTTGAAATTCAGCTGCTCTGTATCCGATCTGAGTGAGCGCGACCTTTTCATGTAAGAAACAATGGTCTAACATTTTAGGCGCTAGATGTAGAAAGCTGGTAGAGACATACCTTCAAACACTCAGTAAAGCTTTTCTTCAAAATATTAATATAAGAGGGCTGAGTACAAATTTAGGCCATACTTGTTAAATTTAGAGTTTCAAAAAATAAAAAAAATAAAGCAGATTGTTTTTTTTCCATTTAAGAAATATGAATTACTTTGTGTTTCTTTATCACGTATTATAATCCCAATAAAATGAATCAATGTTGTGGTTTTAATGTGATAAAATATTAAAGATTTTAAAAGTATGAATTCTTCTGCAAAATTCAGCATGAAAGTATTAGGGATCTAGATTTTTTTAAACATATCATCCTCTAAACATTTAGAGTGTGGCAGTACTGTTGCGATGAGGACCAGCGCCTCAGAGATTGGTCCGAACCAGAACAACACCAGCAGCTCTGGCCAATGCTTCTCCAACCCCAGTTACCCAACTGTAGCTCAGTGCAATGTGGTCTCAACAATTTCAAGCAACCTGGATGGGACCCTGACACTCAAAGTAAGAACCTTCCAAATGCATTACGGCCATTATTTTTATTTGACCTGATGCTATGTTGTAGACATGAGGCGTTTTTATATATTATGTTCTTTTCGCAGTCAAGTACCCTGAAGAGCCGAAACCCCTCAGAATGGAGAACCTTCTGCAACCTTAATGACATAGGTCAGTCATTCTCTCACTGATTATGTCACACCACATAGAGGCTGAATTTGGATTTAGGAGCAATAAATGAGCAAAACTGTCGAATCAAGGGCAAAGACGTGTGTGTCATTAAAGCAGACCTCTCAGTGGCGGAAGCCTGCTGTGAATGAAGATGAGCCAGGGGTCTCTTGTTAAACATAACCTTTGCTCTGATTTTGATAAGATATGCGGGTAGGACAGAGGGAGAACGGGAGTGGAGATGAATAAGGGTCACCATGAGCTCATTAGTCCTCCTTTACTTCCCCCAGTGACCATGATGGCTTACATTGGGTCAAACACTACACACTTAGGATATTAATTATAGAGAATCCTAAAGAAAAGTGTGAGCATTTTTATCCAGGATAATAGTCTTTTATTAATGGCTCAGAAGAACACCTTAAGATGTAGTTGGAAAGATGAGGAAGTGTTTATATGTCAACATTTGAAATTCAATTGAAGTAAGAGTAGCACTTCTTCAGTGTGTTTTCCTTTTCAAGAAAAATATTTAAAAAAAACAGTGCTTCAAAAACAAAATTACTTGAGAAAGAGTAAAAAAAAATAATCTGTTAAAAACACTACTAACACTAGTTGATAACCAATCTGAATGGAATCATTTAAAAAAAATACTGTATGCAGACAGTCAAAATGATGTAAAAGTATGTGTAAATTCTAGTATTTTAAAGATATTAGATCAAAATAAACATTAGAACTGATGGCGATGATGAGGATGACAATGATGGGGATTATGATGATGATCATTATCATCATCATCATCATTTTTATTTTACAGAGAGAATGTATGCAATATTTAATTCATTTTAACACAGGAAAGAAGCACTTCAACAGTTAATAGCAAAAAATGCTCATTTCCATCTGTAGCTATTAGGCAGGTTAATGCTAACTATATAAAGATTTATTAAAAAAGTGGTGGTCAGTATGAAAAATTATTACAGATATCACTGCATGCATATAAGTTATTTTTTACATATTTCTAAAGCAAATCAAAACACTTCAAACATAACTCTACACACTAAAAACCTTGTCTTCACTCAAACAGACTTATTATTTCTAAGCTGTTTCGATAATGCCCATTTTCTGCATGATGTTCAAATCTTTTTTAAATAGAATGGAATAGAATACAATAGAATAGAAAATCCCTTTATTGTCCCACAATGGGGAAATTGTTGAGTAACAGCAGCAAAAGGTTATAGCAGAATTGGTCACACAAATTGGACCTTTAAAGGTGTATAAAATAACAGATTAAACAACAGATGTAAGAAGATAAACAAATAAGTATTGCACTGTACAGTGTTTTTACAATATATATGCTCTGTATCTGGAGAGTAAATCAATAAACAGCTGTGGACATTTTTACAGTACTGGATATGTGATGAATAGCAGCAACATCCAATCTGCAAAATGACAGCAGCATGTTATTTAATTGACTAAGGCAGTAACTGTGCAAAAATCTGGACTGTGACTTTTACAATGATAGTGACAATATATACTGTATATATTTACTCTACTCCAAATTGCACAGCTGACAGAGACAATTTTAGATTATATTAAAATGATAAACCTTTACAACAACAACAAAAAAATCTCATAAATTGTGTAGTTGTGTCTGTCTGGTGTATTTCTAGTTAAAACATGTCTTATCTCATCGTCATTTATTTAACCATCTTAGGGTGGGTAGCATAGCCAGATATTGTATTAAAGAAAGATTTGTGTAACTGCAAAATAATAATACTGAGTAAATTGAACTAGCCTACTGTACAAGCCACATCAGTCAGCATCTAGAAACGAAATAGCAGTTAAGTCAGTACTTCTGTTGTAGAAGTTTAATGAACAGAAATACATTTGCTAACAAGTACTTCAGGTATTTGAACATGGCAAAAGTATTCTATTGAGCCTATTTATTCAAGGAATACATTGATTTAGTGTTTGATTTTTATAACATCATATTGGTTACATTTTGACTAATGTCATAAGACAGTATAAGTAAACAAAGATGTGTTTAACCTTTTAGTCAATGTATCAACATTTTTAAAACAAAATAATTAGGTAACAGGGTAACTGTTGATCTTGGTTAGAATTAATTTGCTATTTTGGGTTGTCACAATTATAACATCCTTCCGGGTTGCTTTACCCTCTTATCTGTCAGGGTCATGGTGGGTTGGTGCCTTCCTCCATCAGTCTTTGGGAGAGGGCACACCCTAGATATGTTACTAGAATAGAATATAAAATCCCTTTATTGTCATAAAAATATATACGTATATATTGCTTTTGCTGAAACACCACAATTTCCCCATTGTATATATATATATATATATATATA